TAGACCTAGGCCATAGATCTAGAAGAACCTAGTTCTACCCTGAGCCAAGAGGGTGCTGAAAGTTTCCGAAATCACAAAAGAGTTCCCCTACCGGGTCTGTATACTTTGTGACTTTATTCCCGGTTACCGGGTCTGTATACACTCCCTAAAAATAAATCTAGATTTCTAGATCTAGATCTAGATACATCACTCTCCAATTCATATTTTCCACCTATTCTTACTGACCTTAACCCTAACCAAACACTCAAATGAAAAAAACAAACAAACAGTGACAGCGAATGATCGCACTGGCAACATCCCTATCATATCGGTTCATGCATGATCTCTAGATACTCTATCATCACGAACCAACCTTCAATGCGTATTTTTGTTGTGAAGATCTGTGGTAACACTCGTGCACTTTTCCATTTATGCCGAGGCCTAGAACACTTCCCGTCAATCTGTAATCGTCTGAAATCGGGTGTTTCTTTGCTTGCAAAGGTTTCATATATCCTTGTCCCATCATATTTGAAGCGAAAATGTCAACGTCTTTTCAATACACGATTGTGAAATAGTAACACAGCTACCTCACAAACGATGTCACAAGAGCCCAAACCGGATATTTAGACCAGGAAATGACAAATTTCTCTATAATTAGAACGAATACAATTTCTCAACCTTCTTGACGGAAAATAACGGAAAAATCCCAATAGTTAATCTAAATATCAATTATCTTTATAAAATATATTCTATGCCTAGACAATTTACTATTTTTTTATTGTATTTGTTACTGTATTTTGAGGTAGAAAAATGGTTTAGTGTTTAAATAAATAACTTTGTTCTGGAAAGTCTTGTTAAACTTGTTTTAAATGTATGGTATCTTACTTTATCACGGTTTATAATTACACATGCACTGTATAATAATATTATGCGTGTTCCCTCTTGCACATTGAACAGAGTAAAATATATATGTATCCATAAACACTGTTTTGAAAATTACTGTGTTAAATGCATACTGTTACTATTATAGAATTATTATGAAAGTTATCAAAGACATTATATTAGCTTCTTCATAAAATTATGAAGAAGTGATGGCCTACTGCAGTTTAATATTACCAATTACCAACAAAAACACACGTGTCTGTGAGTACGAACGTGTGTGTCTGTGTGTGTGGGTGTGTGTGTGTGTGTGTGTGTGTGTGTGTGTGTGTGTTTGTGTGTGTGTGTTAGTCTCTGTGAGTGCGTGTGTGGACAAAGTGTAAATTAAGAGTATTCTATCAGTAACACACATATTTTCTGTTTGACTTTCACTTGAAACTAGGGCTGTACCCCGGTAGCAAACACGCTCGCGCTCGCAAGACCCTAGTTCAAGTCACAAGCCTCAAATCACTAGGTCAAATCATCAAATCAAATTACCAGCATGATACGTTGAGTCTAGCCTAAGCTTCAAGTGCCCACACCAAATTGCAATCCGCGAAGCCACTCGTGTCTGACCCCCTCTTCCTTCCCCTCCCTGCTAGCAATCCGCGAAACCCGTAATGTCAGAAAGAGAGAGGGGGGAGAGAGAGAGAGAGAGACCCCGCGCACAGTGTCACTGCGCCACAAACTAGTCTGTTCGACTATTCGAAGGCATACGAGCAGCGGACAAGACTCAAATCGCAGCAAAGCAAAGCATTTGGTCCCAAGACCTACTTTGCGTTTCGTATTGCTTTGTGCTAAGGGCTTGCTCTCGTGCCAATAAATCTGCTTTGAGTTTAACTACCGCCCTGGCAAGACAACACGGCTCGTCAGTACAACACCGCTCGTCAGGCAAACACCGCTCGTCTGCACCAAGACGCAAGATCTACCGGTAATCCACCCCGCTCGCGGCGTCAACTCTGAACTCTGGACGTGGAGGAAGCGAGAGGCAGCGCTGGTTTTGGTTCAAGTTCAAGGTGAAGAGGGCTGTAATAGCCTAGTGCAGACCGTTCGCGACCTCGGTGCTTTAAGAGTGAAAATGGGACATCTTCGTAGGCTCACATTTTGTTATGAGCTGTTTTCACTGGTATTAAAAATGGAGATACGTCAAGAAAGCACTGGGGTCGCGGTATGCTACACTATTTAGGGCGCAGAATAAAGATGTGAAACACTTACAAACAATTTTTAACTGACAAAATAAATCAGTATTATTAGCATCCCGTGGCTTGTAATTTAATCACTCGCCTAAACTACACCTCCACTCCCACCCCGACACTTAGAACAAGTTGAAGTTGAAGAGAAAGCATTGGGGAGAGGATGACAATCGTGATTTGGTTTCTGAACAATGTAAAAAAACTTTTGATTTGACTGCTTCCCTGTCAGAAAATCACTGTTAAGGTAAATTATATCACATTGTTAATTACATTGTAGACCTATAACTTTTTTAAAAACATCTTGCTGCACAGTAACTGATATTATGTATGTATTGTGCATGTTCTATCATACAAATATTAAATATGATGTCGAATTACGCCCAGAAAATCAATAAAGCAAAACATAATCCTTCCCCCCACAAATTTTTTATATATTTTAATCAACAAAAAACTGAACCAAACCCCCCCCCCCAAAAAAAAACAAGACAAATAAAACCCTGTCAAACCAGGAGGCGTAAGGGGAGGGGTGGGTTCTACGGAAAGCGCGGGGTGGCCAACACCTCTCGCTTTCCCAGCCATACCACCCCCTCCCCTCCCCAAACAGAGCCATCGCTGGATGTGTGAGGGTTTTTTAGGGCTTGTCAGCGTGCGGCACGCGGGCAGAAGTATCGCGCGCTCAGTAAACAAGAGTTTGTGACGTCACGACACAAATCAGTAAGCCCGTCCGCCGTCCACGAGTAGCAACTCCGGTAGCGGGCAATACTCAAGCCCGCTCGCAAGCCTCTGGCACGAGCCGTCCGTTTGCTCGCAAGCCTTCGATTAATCGAGCAGACTCCAGTCCTACTTGAAACTGAATGAAAAGTGTTACCAATAATCAATCTCTTGTCCACTGTCCAGCTGACAAACAGTAACCGTCTCCGCCGATCTTGTCTAGGGAAAGAACCGTCCCAGATTATAATTTGCATTAAGTGCCGTGCCATAACACTGCTTGCGTTTCCCCTACTATATAAAGTCGAACCTGCCATGATGGCCACCCGTACAAACGGCCACTTTCCACCCCCCCCCCTTGCGTTTTCTCTTTATGATTTAACTGTGTAAAACGGCCACATGTCCAACACGGCCGCGGCCACCTTATTTCATCAACCCACGGTCAAATTTACCTATCTCATGCGGCCAGGCATAGTCACTCATCGCCCCAAGCTTTGTCTTAAATTGTGTCGAATCGGGCCCTCACGATGTGGACCGGCCGTTATAATTCATTCACTTGTCGTTATTCTTAGTACTTAGTCCCTCCAAAGAATGTTTACCCAAGTGGATCAATGGGTAGGCCTAACAATAAATTTTCAGCTGCTGGTGAGGGAAGCGTATGATCCGTCATAAGCTATTAGCCCCGCCCACAACTCATGCACAAATCGTTTGTCAGGTGACTGATCACTGTTTTGTTTACCTAATCTGTAACAAAAGCCATAAGTGTCAATAAGTGAGGCTCTACACTGAATCAAGAACACAAGCCATCAGCGAGCAGTAATCATTACAGACTCCTTGAGCACACTACAGAAGGTACAGAAAGGGATGCTGTATGCGGACTGGAAGTCTACGATCAGGGAGAGCAGCCTGGAAAGATGAATGGGCTGGATCTTCTGCCCTGGCCACGCAGGGTAACCGGCAACGAGAGAGTAGACAAGCTGACTGGAGAAGCAAAAGTGGGAGGGAATTTGACACTGGACCCACCAACCGCCCTAACCGCAGTAAGGGAAAATTTGAGGTAAGAATATGACAGGTAGTAGGTAGCAGTTCCCACACCCTTTGTAGATTGAATGAGAATGGGATCCAAAGAGGAGAAGGGAAACACAGCCACCTGGGCGGACCAGTCCGACGGATCTCCAACCAGATTATGATGGAGACTCTAAGCAGACAGACTCTGGGATGGATCCTGAAGAGGGGGGGGGGGGGGGTACTCGAAGGTAGGCCTTGACTTGTGCTACCCACCGACACAAGCTAGCACAAGTCAAGGCCTACCTTCGAGTAACAGCAGACGAACGTCACCCTCTACATCCGAAAATAGGAAACCAAGTACGCCAAAGATTGAAAAGAGGATCTTCATGGATGGTGCAGGCGGAGCGAACTCTCGATATGTGCTGTGAAATCGAGGACATAAGAAGAGGATGTGACTGGATGAGGCCGGAGAAAGACATGAGCAACTTCATGAAGGTGATAGCTACGCTAGGTCGAGAGTGTCGCGAGTGGCCAGCAAGTGCAACTAATGCGGAAATCGTGGCCATCCTTGAGGAAAATTCAGTGATAGGTGATGTTGTCGTCTTCACCGACGGATCAGTGAGGCGTGGCCAGAAATCTGGGTGGGCGTTCAGTGCTCGAGTTGACGGGAAGATAATTAAAGAACAGTCTGGAGCCTACGAGTGCACTACGTCGAGCATGGCAATGGAGGTCAAGGCAATAACAGAGGCGCTGGAATGGATCAGCATGGAAGCGTATAAACATGCCCTGTTTGTCACAGATTCGATGAGCACCCTAGAAAAAATCAGGAGTAGGTGGCTTTACCGTGACTGGAGAGCTTCCATTGCAAATAGCCACCTCCTAAGAATTACATGGGTGTTCTGCCCTGGTCACGCCGGGGTGCACGGAAATGAGCGTGCTGATGAACTTGCCGGCAAAGCAACACCCAATGGCCGAATCATGCTCGACCCAACAATGGTGATCGCCAGATGCAAGGAGAGCCTTCACAGCCAAGAGGAGACAGACTCCCACACACTCAGCACAATAAAAGGAAAATGTGTGCGGGGCACAGCGAAAAAAAGTTTGCTCCGAGGAGTGGTCAGGCGTGTCTCAAACCAGCTCCTCATGGAGACAATTAGCAGGAAGACCCTGATGTGGACGCTGGAAAGGAGAGATGAGCAGCTATGGACATGTGCCGCCTGCTATGATTCTAGCTCTGGATCCAAGTAAATCCAGGGGGGGGGGGGGCAAGAAATGGACATGTTCCGACTGTAGTGACCCCAACACTGTGGACAAGGTGAGACAAGATGTGTGGCTTTGTTTAATTTCTACATTCTTCTTTGGAAGTATTGTTAGGGGTCTGACATACAGTCCCCTAGCGTATACCCACTGGGGGAACTGTACAGCCCCCCAGCGCTGATTTGTGCACTGGCGGACTGCAAAGAAACAACATTTGACCCTCGGATCGAGGTCAGCAAGCTATCATCAGACAGATCTAGATCTTTCTGATACATATATCTAGCTTTTTATCTCCATACACATACTGGATGTTATCGGTGCACTTTGCTCTTTACCGCTACTCCGCTGACTCACAGAAAGGCTTGGACTTGTGCCAGTTTGTCCCTCTCGTCTGTACATGGGAAATCTAGGAAGTATCTCATTGCTTCAGCTACGGTGTCTTGTGTGCACCCTAGGATTGCCCCCATTCCTTCATTTTGTAACACCTCAAGTCGTTGCGGTTGCGCCTTTGATGGGGTCAAAAGTCCGAGCCCGTACTCTACGACAGAGAGTACCGGTGTCTGGTAGAGGATGACAAGGATTTTGTGGCTCATCTTAGCTCTGGCCATCATTTTAAGGGCTGTTAGGCCTTTTCTCGCCCTGGAGATTGTTCTCGTGATGTGATCTTTGCCAGAGAGGGTGCGATCAAACGTGATGCCCAAGTACTAATTCAGCGTGGGTTCCCTCTTCGGCACTTCTCAAATCGAGATACTTGGCATGTCATCGTGCACTGCATGGTTTAACAAAGCCAATGTCCCCGAAGTGGGCCGATCCGGTGCCCGAAATGTGATGTCGTGGGGTGGAATCTCTGCTCTTTATCGTACACCTTCGGTCACTATTCAAAGAGCGATGTACAGTACTGAGACAAAACTCTTCGCCACGTGGTGCCCTGCTCTACATGACATGGATAATGGAATATGTGCTAACAAGTACAACACCCAACCCCATGCGGCCATATGATCAGTCAAAACTCCATCCAGACTCATCAAATCATATTATGGACTAGCCTGCAAGATAATTAGGCTTCAACCAAACCTGTAAGATGACCACGACTGGAAGATTAAAAAACAGGCCGCACTCCATGTAAACTTGTCAGGAACTGAACGCGGCACACTACGCTACACGGAATGTCAGGGGATTCCTCATGCAACCATAAGGACATTAATTCAGTCAATGAACAGACGTTTGGTAGCACAGTAAATCAAGATGGAATAGAGGCCACATTATGCAATCACTATTGAACAAACTCTGATTTAGATTTTGCAAGGGTCAGCTAGTGTGAATAAAATTATCTCCCTAGAAAAAAAAGGAACGGCCATTACTCAATTTTTTCTATATGCCATGGTGACAGAAAATGAATGGAGATCACGTGCACCAAATTTCGCTTGGCTATGTTGAATAATAACTGAGTTTAACTTTGAAAGTACGTGTGACTTTTGCAACACGGTATAGGACCATTATATATAGAAAAAATCGTTCTTACATCTGATCAGATATACGTATTTATCTGATGAGGCCTGTTTATAACATTCATTATTTTAACATTCAGATTTGCAGGTTATATAACAGCGATTTGCTTCAACTGCAACGCAATATTCTATCTTCTTATTCGAAATGAAAAGTAACACTGAGGTGATGAAGTTTAAAATCAGGGATAACAGTGAGGAAAAAACCCCAAAACAAAGTAACCGTCGGTCACAATAATAAATTAAATAAATAATTATTATTGTAACGAAAAGAATAGACCAAGGATAAAAACAAATAATACGACACATGTAAGATACCATAGTTTACGAACCCCAAAGTGAACCGAAATACCACGCTGTTAAAAAAAAAACCGCGATTAGAAGTAGAACATAGAGTTATGGGTTAAACATCTTTCTTTTATTGATAATATTCCAATACTGCATTTGGATATTGACATGTTTTGATAACACGTATATTTCCTTTTTTTTCAATAACGAAATTAACCTAAATCTAAGTCAAAAGTCAAAGTGAAGTACTGAATGAACCAAGATTCTAGTTCTCCTAGCTCTCACGCGTACGAATACATAATGGTGGCGTGCAAATGAAGACGGAGCCCAGTGGCCAGGACAACTCTATTATCTCTCTTTGTACAATGTCCAGTGTGTTGAAGAGAAGTATGGACCGTGATGGGTCTCCAATCAGCAAACGGTCACGGTCTGCCTATGGCCCTGATCATGACATGATGCGAGACAGAATGAGTCCACCGGATTTCGATCGAAGGGAGCGGGTAAAGTACGAACCAAGGGACCCTCCACCTGGGCCACCGGGTCCAGGGTATCGCACTGAGTTCCTCGTTCACGATGGTCCACCACCCCCTCGTCAACATTATGAATCGAGGGGTCCACCACCCAGCACACCGTACCAGGCACCCCCACGTTGGCCGCCTGATAATAATGACTATAGATCTCTATACATTAGCGGCATACCAAGCAAGGTTCCTGATCAGATTCTCAGAGACTGTCTCATTGACAATTACAAAAGATTTGGTGAAATGAATGTGAAAATTACAATGTCTAATGATCAAAGAGTTGCATATTTAAATTTTAGGTACCCTGAAGATGCGAAAGAGGCTCTGATGAAAGGGATTAAATTCCTTTTTGACAGAGAACTGAAGATCAATCCTGTTTTCAACAAACGCAGGAACATCAGTCCCAGCCGAAACTTTCCACCAAGTGGTGGTAGTGGCAGTGGTGGTAGACCTCCGCCAGCAGAACCTTTCTATCCCTCGAGCAGACACTCGCCACCTCCATATGACCGCAGACCTCCAATTGATGGCCCAGCTTCTTATGAATATCGACCACCTCCACCTCCTGGTAGTCAGACTGAGGAAAGGAAAAGTGAAAAGTTCCCGTATCATTTAGATCATGTTGACCCTGAATATGATGACAAAGCCACTAGAACATTGTTTGTAGGTAATCTTGATGTAAACATTACAGAGTTTGATTTGCGCAATATTTTTGGAAAATTTGGCTATGTTGAAGACATTGATATAAAGCGTCCTGTAAGGAATACTGGAAATGCTTATGCTTTCATAAAGTACATCAACCTTGATTGTGCACATAGAGCAAAGGTTGAGATGTCTGGAAAATACATTGGTAGATTTCAGTGCAAAATTGGGTATGGAAAAGTTACACCAACAACAGTTATTTGGGTGGGAGGGCTTGGGCCGTGGATCACTGTTGAAACACTGGAACGTGAATTTGATAGGTTTGGTGCAATTCAACATATTGAATGGCCGAGGAACAAAAACTTTGCTTATGTTGTTTATGACAGTATTGATGCAGCCCAGGCAGCTTGTCAGCAGATGAGAGGATGTCCCCTTGGTGGGCCTGATCGACGTTTGAGGCTTGATTTTGGAGAAAAAGATCACATAGGACGCAGCCATAGCTTGCCAGATTATCATTATCCACCAAGCAAAGAAAGAAGCAGTTATGGTCCGCCGCCTGAGCGGCCACCAGGTCCATGGAGAGAGTCTCCACGCGGACCTCCAGATGCACCGGAGAGACCCAGGTATGAGGACTGGCGGGATCACAGGGAATATAGGCCCCCGCCTCCTGAGGCTTATAGGGAAGAAGGTAGACGCCATGAGGACTACCATTACGAGCGAGGTTCTGAACGACGTAGAGAGCGTACACCAGAATTCAATAAGTCTCAGTTCCATGTGACAAGTCAGAGATCACCTGAGCGAAATAGAGAGTACAGGGAAGAACGGGCTCCACCACGAGATGAGGAACGGAGATTGTCAGAGCGTAGAGAATATAGAGGTCCTAGCCCCAATGGTGATTTTATTGAGAGTCAGTGCCGCAGTCTCGCTGATTTGGCCAAAATGTTACCTGTTGCTTGGAATGGTGCCCTCATTTTGAAAAGTTCTGCTTTTGCCTCTCGTATGCATGTAGTCAGTGGTGATGTGACTTTGGTGGATACATTGATGAGGGATCCTACTTCAACAGAATCTCCTGTTCTCAAAATAACGCAACGTTTACGGTTAGATCAACCTAAACTAGATGATGTTGGTCGTAGAATTCAGGCTGCCGGACCCCGTGGTCACTGTATTTTGTTAGCCATGCCTAGTTCTCTAAATAATTATGAGGACACTGCCTCATCTATTCAGCAAAGACCCTTGAAAAATCTTGTCACATATTTGAAACAAAAGGAAGCTGCTGGTGTTATTTCCCTTCCTCCAATTCCTATTCCAGGAAAGAAAGATGTTGGTGTGCTTCATGCTTTTCCTCCATGTGACTTTGGGTTCAACTTTTTGAGAAACCGTGCTCCCAAACTGTCACCAGAATCTGCGAAAGAGGATTACCTTGTTGTTGTAGTTGTTAATGGGGCAGCATAGCCCCTTTTACACATCATGTTCATTGAAACTGACCCACTGCATCTGTTGAGATTCTTTAAGAGATAGATATATATTATATATAAGTTCTTGTACATTTTTTAAAGTAGAAGTTCAGTCATCTTTATAATCGCTTGTCAGCTATATATTAACTTATAATTAAGAATAGAATTCTTTTTGAATGTTGCTCTATGAAAGAGATTTAGAGAGCTTAGATCCTTCTGTATTTTTTATTGGTAATTTTAGCCATCCTTTTTCAGAACATAGATGAAATGTTTTAAAAAGAACTATCATGATAAGGCATGTGCTTGGAGAGTTAAACACCCAATATTATAAATATATATTTCACGGACATCAGCTTTTTAATCTTTTCCAAAAAGCTTTTGAAATGTTAAATGTTTATCAGATAGTCTAGAGATGTCAGGGAATTGTTTTAGTGGGTTTGTTTTAATATTTTTCATGTGAACATATTAAGTACTATTTATATGTGTCATTTTTTTAGACAAAGTGTAAACTTGCTTTGCATTCTGCTTCGTTGTTTTCAAATTTTCTTTGTACAGAGCCATCTTCACATCACAGAACACGCACTCTGCTCTGGAACTGGAAAATTAAAATGGAGATGGTGATTTGGAACTGGAAAACAGTGTCACATTGCTTTCTTCATCGGCCTCCCAATTCCAGTTCTCAGGTAATGTACAGGCTCTGAAGTTACAAAATGAAGATGCAGTGGAGTCCGCTTAAATAGCAATGCCAATGAAAAATTGATTTTTCACTTTAACCCATTTTTATTTGGTACCTTAGAAGTAAAGGCGGCGTGGAAAGAAACTGGCCACCCTACCACAATATGCCGAAGGCCCAGGAAGTTGTCTCACTAACAAGGCAATCCCTAAAAAAAATTACCTAAAAAAGAGTTTTCAATTCTAAGAATTATGCTTTTTTAAATTTAAAGAATCGGTTAAAAAAATTTTTGAAGTTATTGGGTTGTAAAGGTCGGCAATGGATGACCCACATATTTAGAAAAATACTCCTAAACAGTGGACCACGTAACAGCAGACTCTGTAAGAAAATCGACTACATATCAGTAATTAATTGGATTGTTAGAAAGAAATTTGGCTACCCAATGTGTTTTGGGTGGAGAAATCATTTCTGCAGTCAGATTTACTAACCATTTCATACTTGTTTTGTTATAAATAAAATTTTGGTGATATATTACGATTTGAAGAAAAAGGGGTGTTGTTATAACATTTTATTTAATAGCATCGTATCACAACATGGGATCTTTAAGAATATGTTGGCAGCGTGACTAAGTAATGGCAAAGCTTTCTTTGATGACTTTAGACCATGCCAACCATAAAAAATAATTCAATTCAATTAAATACCTTTTTTTCCCATTGAGATGTGAACACCCCGAGGAGAGATTATTAGCTCGCCTCGGAATACCCCCATTGCAATGTTACAGGAAAACAGAGAAAAACAATCGGAATGCGTGTGCCCGCCATTGCCCTATTTCAAGTGACCATTGAATGGGCTTGGAATAAGCATGCAGGGATTTGCAGGTCACATATATTTGTCAAGGGAGTGAGGAGAAAATAGCCGGTTTCCATGTAAAGCAGCTTTGGACAGTGCATTTATGATAAATTCTAAACAACTTCACACAGAACGTTCAAATTTTAGGACACTATAGAGTCCAAAGATGCATCTATTTCTTTCTCGGCCTTGAGAAAATCAAGCTAGCTTTCGGTATACACCCGATATGAAAGTGTTTCCAACACCAAAAATATAGGTAAATTTATGTGTACAAACTTCAACGTCCACAGTCCACATATCCTTAGTTTGCCCTATCTGATTGATTGCCATGTTTCATTCACATTGGTCCAGAAATAGCACAGAACCAGTTTGAGAAAGTTGGTCACCCTCAAACTAGGACAAAAATTTCGCCTCATGCGGAAGCCCGATTCCACAGAATTTGGTTTTTAAGCAGACTCCACTGTATTATATCATTGATTCTTTTTAGGCTGCCTTTCTTTTTAATACCGGTACAATTTTTAAGATATTTGGTTTAGTACACTGCATTAGTGCCAAGTGTTTGTGAATTGCGATGATGTTTTGTTTTTCGGAGTAGTTGCTTCAATAAAAGTTTTGTGTCTGAGGTGAAAACGCTGTCCATCACTCTGTTTGTTCGGCGTGAGGGGCAGTCTCACCAAATATCCGGGGGTTTTTTGTTTTTGTTTTTTTTGTTTGTTTTGTTTTGGTCAAGCTTTGCCTGTCGGCGTGTTTCGCGGATCGGAGCGTGCGTTAGTAGTGACCGTGCATTTGTACGCCTAAATTATAATGTAAAAAATGTGACGGAAGCATGCGTGTGAGCGGAGCGTGCTTTTGTATGACATGCGTTTAGGCGGAGACCACTGTACAACCCCGGTCTTTGGCTCCCCAGGGAAGAAGACTGTCCATGGCCGCATTACGAATTTTTAAGCCAGATTAATAGTTTTCTATATGTAGGCAACCCTGCGAAAGGCTCATGATCGCTAGGTGGCGTGTGATTGGCTGCCTGTAATTAAATAGGTCACACAAGTCTATTGCCGTATGTGATTACACCAGGAAATGTTTTTCTCATGTGCCACTGTCACCATCAAGTCCACTTTATCCCTGTAGCCCACTTTGCCATTTTAGTCCTTGCTATACCCCCAGTGGGTCGGGGGGATATGAATAATAGACCCACTGCTTCGTCTGCAGAAGGTGCAACCCCTTCAAAGGCGGAGTGTCGCACACGGACCCCAACCC